TTTCAGTGAAGAGGCATAAAATGTAAGTACTTTACAGACAATAAGCATATACCCTACCTAAAAGATGAAAAATAGGGTCCCCAAAATTAAATAAACTTCAATTTTACTTATAATGCAGGCACTGAAGTTGTCTTGTGAAATCTGCAGTATATCAAGCTTCTACCATATATTTTTCTTCAGTAATTCTTGGGCAAAGGAGAATCCAGTCTCCATGCAACACATACTAGCAACTTATCTGCTTTTGCTTCGCTTATCCCTTTGATTGCTATCAGATATTTCTTGGGTGCAAAAGCGACTGCCTCAACTGTATGGTAGCCGGCCTCCTCCAGCTTCTTTATGTCAGCAGCACTGATTCCCTGGGACTGCAACATAAGTATTGCTCTAATTTGACACTGACAAAAGATGCACAAAATACTGGTCAAGTTTCATCCGGTATTGGTTTCACTACATTGACACACAGTACTCAGGACTTAACCCAGCCTCCTGTCCACTGTAAACAGGCAGCTTGTTTGCCAGGGTTAAGGTAGCCAGAACATGAAACTGAGCATCTACCTGTTCGGTGCTGCGGCTGAAAGTATGTGACGCTCTGCTTCCACTCCTCCACGCATGATAAGATGCTTAAATACAAATATAACTTGCAAATAAGTAGTGTCTTCAAGAATAAATTTAATGTGAACTTACCTGAAGTTTACTAATCAACTGTGGTCCAAATTCATCCACATCATCTTGTTTCTGTGATAAAGTTGCTGCTTCAGCCAAAGCCATGTTTACCTGAAAAACAGAAACAAAATTATGGTGCACAGAGCAACTGGAATAGAACATAATTTATTCACATCCAAAGATCCTTCACAGTACATGCCCAAGGTGTGGACCATATCATAATACTAATACTATGCTTAGTACAAACACAATACAAATATAAACATACAGTTCTTATTGCTATTTACATAAATATTCACGAAATTAAACAATGCTCAATTGAAGTAAATTGTTTTGTGAGCAGACAAGATTTCCAGTTCACTTTTTTACTAATAGTTTCCGGAGTATAAAAAATGGACAGTGAATATTCAGGATATGACAAACAAAGGATAAACCACACACCACTTGCTTACGAAGCAAGTTCGTGGATATACTTATCTGGTGTAAGGGTGAAGAAGTGAAATGACTACAATTTAGAACAGCAACAAACATATTTTTGAAGATGGCTGTCTTCTGGGTTGTAGCATTGAGTCTGAAAGCCTTGACCATGGAGGCAACAAGGCCCTCTGAAACGTTTGTAAATTATCTAAGTACATGGCACCACAACCCAGAAGACAGCCATCTCCGGACTCACTGCCTTAAAAACCTCAAATCCTACTAATGCTTTTCTATTAGTGTGATTCACTACTCACAACAATGGTCATAAATATTATATATACACACAGGGTTATTAATCATAATGGTAAGCAACCCAGCAGATTTTTAACTGCAACAGAATACCAATTACGCCATAACTTGCCTTGTCCTAAAGTTCTGACTTGTGTATTCTTCCACTACGACTTTAAAGTTATTAACAAGTACTCCCGCTTTCCTTATCAACAAGTGTTGCCTTTCCCGCTCGTGTCACTAATAAAGTGAAATAGCTGTCTTAAATAAAAGGATAAGAATAAGTAAAATCATTTTCCTACTATTCATTTCAGTTGCGCCAAATTCGGCCACTTTCATATATAACAGGCCTCTCTCTGAGGTTACATACTATACAGAGAACATAGTAAAAGCTCAATGACGTCAGTCCGGTGCATATACAACCGTATAGAAAAGAGGGACTCAAATCCTAAGTGAATAGAACGTACTTCGGTCAGTTGCCATAAAAAAACAAAAAAACAACGATATTATGGCTTGTTATAGCAGACGGCTAACAACTTCTTCGATTACAGCCATATTTTTTGATTTGGACAACACTCTAATTAAAACTAGGAAGGGTGATAGGTTGGCATGCGAGAAGGTACTGTAACATTTATTTTGTGTCGAGTATCGTTTGGTTTTGTATTGGGTTCAAATGTTTGGCATTAGCAAGGTCATGTATTACCCTATGACTCTGCTGCTGCGCTCTGTGTTCCGTTTATTAATCGTCGACCCTTCTGCTGTACGGAATTGCAAGGGTGCCGAAAATAGATTTTAGTATGCGACCAACGAACTCAGGAAATTCTAGACAAATTATCCCAATTTAGACTTTAGGAAAGTGCTGGCGTTAACTTGGGACTAAAAATAAGTTCTGGCAGGGGCGTGAACCACGCAGTGGAATCATGACTCCCAGTTTATCTCACAAAGCATCGCTTCAGCAGCAGTCAAGACAAGCCGCGACGAATTCGTACAACGTAGTACGGTATATTTGTAACGAAAATACGGTGTTTTTGTGAATAGTGGAACCTGAGGCCTAAAGACATTTGAAGAGGTGCATTTGCGACATACGTGCGTTAAGACCATACTTCACTGCAAGTGTAAGACATTGCCTTTTTTGTGGTGTACTTTATTAATTTCAGTAGTAAAATATGTCTGAGGGAAGCGTTCCTGATTCAGTAAAGAAATGCATTGCAATTTTAAAGGCTGCTAAAAGTGATACAGAAAAATTTGCTGCCTTGTTTATGGTCACAAAACTTGTGAAAGGTGAAGATTGTACCACACAGAGTAAAAAATTGCTTTTTGAAGCAATTGGCTTCAAGTTCTTGAAACGACTTCTACTGAGTCCAGATGTGCCAGCAGATTGTCCTCCACTTGTGTACAAATCTGTTGTGCTGTCAATCCTGTCAAGCTTCTGTTCTGATGCAGAACTTGCAACTCATCCAGAAATGCTCGCCAATATACCTGTGTTCCTAGAAATTGCACAGCAGGCTGATGATGATGATTTGGATGATAACCTGATTGTTGTGAGCGAAGCATATGAATGTCTACAAAGCATAGTAGCACACAAACCAGGTCAACTGGCATTGTTAGAAGTTGGAGGTGTTGCAAAAATGTGTGAAATTTATGCTCAACAAAGCTTCCAGACCGATGAGGCACTGAACATACTAGTGACACTTGTGGGAAAATTTGGGCCAAGTGCATGGGATATCAACCCAAAGCCATTTCATATAATTGTGAATAAGATATCTCTAGATTTTGAAACGGATCATAGTGAGCGGAAATTCGAGCTGTGTAGGATGCTACATGCACTTCTCTTCAGCTGCAGACGTGATGTGATAGTTGCAACAGCGAATGAAGCCCTCTGGCCAGGAAGCATCTACAAGGGGCTGGTGGACATCCTGACCAGCAAGCTGGGAAAGGCCCAGCGTGATCCAGCTCTCAAGCTGACATCGATAATGGTGGAGTTGCTAGGTGTGGAGTGGTGCCTGACAGATGAAGAGCAGCCACGGCAGTTCTTTCTGTTGTTGGTGCAGCTGTGCTCAATTGAGTTGCGAATGCAACTAGAAGATCGTACCTTTGCCCAGATAATGATGCACGCAGACCTTGTGTCAGCATGCTTTGTTGTGCTTGAGCTCTCAATTACATACATTGCAACTGACACTCTTGAACTGGAGCAGAAGGAGAAGCAGCAGTTGTACACAGCACTGAAAGGAGCATTTTCAGCCGTCATCTCTGTTCTCACAAAGGTTTCCACTGACTTCACTAAAAATCCAAATGCTATGGACACTAAACAGAAAATATTTGTGTGTGCTATGGTTCGTGTACTGTCAGCATGGCTGGCTCAAGAGACTTCAGCTATGAGAAATAGTGTATATGCCCTCCTCCCATTCATGCTAACCCTTGCCAATGAGACATTCTACGCATACCGGTCACGGCGACTGGCTGAAAAGAGACAGAGTTCTGACACCATGGAGACAGATTCAGACCTGATTAGTCAGGTGGATATTCTTCGGCTGATGTTGCCTGCACTGTGCCATCTGGCAGTGGAGGAGAAGGCTCGCAAGATTCTGCTGGAAGCAAAGGAGGAGGAGGTTCTGTATGAATGCTTGGCCTACCACTGGTCCATTGTGCATTATAAGAAACCTCCAGTACCCAAGTCAGAGCGTGGAAAGGTCAAGAAGGAGCCAGAACTGGAACTCGACCCAAAGATCCTGGAAGATATGAAGGACTCGAGGGCAGCGATGGTCAGCATCTGCAATATATTTATGAATGTGACTGTACTTGAGGCCAAAATGGTAGAGGAGAGCATGTTGTTTGCAACATTGCTAAAGTTTATATTCAACAACTTGCCTGAACTGAAGAGTATACCAGAAAATCTTGTTTTGCATGGTAACTTGGCAGTTCTTGGATTGCTGCTACTTAAACAGCAGGCAAAACGAGTGAAGAAAAATGATTTCACCATCTGTCGCTACATTCAGGCAACCATTCGCTTCCTGTGGGATGCATACAATGTGGATGAGTCAAATGATACATCGGCATTGGTCGTGGTAATGAGTTACAAGAAATACTGGTTTGAGCTCATGGAACTGTGGTTCTTGGGAATGCAGACAATGAGTGCTGTGCTGGCTCTAGTACCATGGATATCGGACTTTGCAATAGAGAGTGGCTGGGCTGAAGGAATTATTGACACATTGCATAAAGTCAGGGCAGGGTCACTCCCAGCCAATACCAAGTCTGCCTATGAGGACTTCCTCTGCCATCTGGTGGATGCCAATAACAGTGTCACATCAGTCTTGAAAGAACATGATGCTCTAACTGTATGCAGAACCCATAGGTTCATGGAGCTGGGCAAGCGACTGTTTGGGGATTAAAAAGGCAGTCACATACTGTCAACTAATTATATAAAGAGTTGTGTGAGTTTCTCAGCTGCATATATTTTTATATGGCAGCCAAATAAATTTGTTGTATTCTTTTATACTGGGGAGTTGTGTGCACTAATTCAGAACTGGATCCAGGATCTGCATGAGACAACTTGATCATTTTGCTGTCTTGCAGTGAAGATACCCCTACACCCAATATGGTCGCCCTGGTCCGGTGCAGGCCGACCAACTCGACAGACTGCAACACAGGTACCAAGATTGGGTCTTGGCACACTGCCTAAGCTAGACCACAAAGTAATAGAGGTAGGAATCTGTGAATGTTCCTCGAAACTTCACCACTGGGGTGCTACTGCATGCCAAGTAGTTGCTTGTTGTGCGCTGGGTGATTGTCCATGCCAGGTGGAGTTACATCACAGGAACAATCGAAGAAATGTATGGTGACAGAATTTATGTACATGAC